TTAATTTAAATTTTGAAAATGTTCCGGAAGTTCTGACACTTTTATATATATCTTAAATTAAAGCTAATGTAATATACTTTATCATGGTAAAAAAAAATTTCGGACTTTATTTTATCTTCATGGTGAAAACAGACATTAAACTTAATAAAAAAAATACGATTTTTGTAAAAAAATTCTTTTTTATATTTTTAACTTTATAATGCTATAACTTCTCGAAAGATGTATGGATCAATATAATTCTTTTTTTTGTAGATGCATGATGTCTTTACCTATCATTTGGTATATTTTTTTTATAAATCTGACTTTTTACCTGCCTACAGGGGGGGATTCAAAATGACAACTTTTTCACAAAAAATTGACTTTTTCAACTTAAATTTTGAAAGTGTTCCGGAAAGTCTGACACTTTTCTATATATATTAAATTAAAGCTAATGTAATATACTTTATGTAAAAAAAAAATTTCGGACTTTATTTTGTCTTCACGGTGAAAATGGCTACCAAATGCTATTATTGTGTGAAAAATCTCAATTTTATTTTTTANGGTGAAAATGGCTACCAAATGCTATTATTGTGTGAAAATTCTCAATTTTATTTTTTACATTTTTAACATTATAATGCTATAACTTATTGAAAATTGTATTGATCAATATAATTTTTTTATGGGAAATACTATTTTTTAATAATCCCTTTTTCATTCGACATACTTTATCTTAATCAGGATATTAATAAGGAACTAGCAGTTTATGAAGCTTTTGGAATAATCCACCAATTTTTTAAAATTAAACACTATCTAAAGATTTGCATCGAAGCGTTTTTTATAATAGTGATTTTAATCACTGTCAGATATCATTATACTTGATCCATCTATGCCACGTCACCACTGTGCCGCGACCCCCCTGTGCTGGGTTTTTTAAATTAATAATATTTTTAATATAGTTTTAATTTTATTTACGCACATATTACCCTAGAATATAACATCGAACTATTAGAGAACATGTCAATTGTTTCTACCGTGATTCCTTAAAAGTAATTATTAAAAAACAAAACAGTTTACTCAAATTATAGACACAAATAATTGAAATAAAATTGAAATCGAAAATTATAACACGAAAAACGGTAATTTTCTCTACCAAAATAACATGTTTTGTTTACTTCAGAGAGCGTTTGAAAATAGAAGACTAGTAGGCGAAACAATTTTTTTTTTATCTTATAATATGTAACATAATCTTTCGTTTATGTATTACTAATTTTCATATAAATTCAAATTCTTAAAACTAGGAGTATTTTTGGGGTGTTTTCACAATTTAAGTGGTGACAGACACAAATATATATACAGAATGATTTTTTTATCATAACCCATTCAATTTACTAGATATAAACATAAGGAACACAAATACAGGTAGCTACATGGTTTTTATCACGTCGACATTCGCAGGTACACAGCATTTATTATCAATAGTAGTATGTCACATTGTTGTGAGTTCATAAATACACTAACTGGCAATACAGAAAGTATACCTATTGATAGTCATAATTGACAATAAAAACTCCATGACTGTGGCAGCAACATCATAAAAAACGAATAGTTACCTGTATTTGTAATAACTTGTGTATTATAATTGTATATTAACTCGAAAATTTGAAACCTAAAATGTTTATATCTAATAAACGAATAAAGTTATATAAATAATTCAAATGCCATTTACTATTAAATTAAAAACTCAAAAATTTTATTTAATTCAAAATATGTATTCCCATTTAAAAAACAAAGTTGACACCCTTACATGGCATAAAAGATGAACTTAAAAAGTATTACATAGTTTATAATTCAAGAATAATGTGTAACTAAAGATAAGCAAAAAATTGTTTAATTATATTTATTCTGAGAGTAATAGAGTGGGTTATTATAAAAAAATCACACTGTATATTTATAAATAAATAAGATAAAAATAGAATACTTAGAAAAATTTTTTTTTAAACCTGAACTACATATCAAATATTTGTCATTGATTTGTTTGTCGTATAATTTTCAATTACTATTTGGACAATCATTAATATCATGTGTTACTCATAGCTGAATTACAACAACATAATTTAGGTTTAACAAATTTTTATCCTTTTCTAATTTAAAAAAAAATCGCCGTTATTATGAATAACAATCAGTTTTAGTCTCAATACTTTAAATAATCTTTTTAATATCAGATACCCAAATATATTCAAACATGTGTCAAACATTTTTTTACTATTATTTAAATAATAATCATCATCACTATAGCCTTTATCCCAACTATTTTAATCAGCTCTGATTCTAATGATATGACGGAATTTTTCATCTGTCGACTTGACACAACCTTGTTATAGCTAAAAAAGCTAGTAAGGGACAATGTATGTGTCACTGTTAAAGTTCACGTATGGTCACCCATCTGAAAACCAACAGCAAACAGCGTAACTGAAACTCAGCGCTGAGGCGGCGACTAAATGATCCACTGCCTACACCACGTCTATTATTTATTTTTTTCAGACAATTCATGAAATATTTGACAACATTTAAGTACGGATTTCTCAAAAAGAGGACATAAAGCTTAGTTGATTAAAATTTTGGTTCATAGTTTTATTTTAATTCTACGTAATATTGAAAATATGAAATTACTTAGCACACTAAATTTACTTAGTTTATAATTTATAATTTTAAGGAAAAGAAACCCAGACAAATCTTAATATTTTAAATACTTTTTATTAATAAATTTTCATTTAGCTATTTCAATAAAAAAATTGTAAATTAATTTGTTCAAACTCAAGTTAAAACCTTATGATGTAAATCAACATTATTATGTCGTTTATGCAAAATAGGTGGAAATTCGATATAAAACAATGTGTTCATATGTAATTGATATTATTTTCGAAAAATTATTCATTGTTTGATTAGTATATTTAAATATATTTCTATAAAATATTGGCAAAAATTACATTATTTTTTATATTCAAGAATATTATCCTGTCCCAAGCGTTAACTTGCCCCACTCTCTCGTAGTACTATTAATAGACTTATTGAATAGTCAATAGATTATTGCGTAATATTTTAATACAGTCTAATGCAATATTTTTTCACGAATAAATTAATACAGAAATTATTATTATTATTAGTTCTATTAATTTATGCAATTTTTATTAAAATATTGTTTTGAATAATAAGAAAACTGGTTCAGTTATTGAGCCATCTCTCAAAAAATAAGAACTCTCAGCATGACTTAAAGTCATAAGTCAATAGTTTATCTTATCAAATTTTTTGTTAATTGAAAATATATGAATTTAGCACAAAGTTTAAAATTCTAATGTTTACACTTAACTCTGTGACTTTTTTTTGTAAGTTATTAGTTATGAAATTGATATTTTCAAATATTATATAATATAATATTAAGTATAAATGTTTTCTGTCGTGTGTCAAAAAATGACGAGCCAATTTTATTGCAAAAATTAGCCTTTTTTTGTAAAAAAGTGGTGATTAGCATTAGTCATTATTGTAATTTTCATTTATTTTTGCTCTTCTAAAAAATTTGCAATCATTTGAGTAATTAACCTTATAAGTTTAAACCAATCCTTAACATTTTTATCCATTCCATGTGATAATAAATGTCTTAAGATTTTCCAATTAAGAAATAATTATTTGATGCAACCAGATATATTTTTCTATTAATTTATTAGAAATATATTGTGAAATATCCGATATAAAATAATGACACGACTTACGTCGTAATAATGTAGTCGACACTGGTTTTGATGGCAAATACCCGTGGGCCGTTTATTAATAAGCAACAACAGATCATTTAAAAAAAAAACCAAACAAACCGAAAAGACGGACACAGTTAACAATAATCTTCGCATAATATTGCGGCACTTACGCTGACGTCGGCGATATGGTGTCCGGCATGAATCTCGGACGTCAAAAAGTTAGCAGCGTTGATGGCGAAGGTACGCGGGTGCGGATCGGTTCGTCGAGTCCGGTCGTGTGGCACGTCCGGAGCCGGTGGCGTACATCCTCGACGTTGTCACATTGACAACGGGAAGAAAACTCCACGTATCTTTTGCGACGGATCGTCGTCGGGCGCCCGGCACTTGCTGGACTTTGCACCGTGGCGTATGGCACGCGGTATTGGTCAGATAAATACTCATAGTAGAGCGACGGCTGATAAAGGCACGCGGGGCCGTGTCAATAAATAATTCCAATTTACTTAATAACTATTTTTAATTTTAAATAGCTTTTACATTTAAGAACTAAATGGCAATATTAAAAATAAAAGTTGATTTACATTTAAATCTGAAATTTTATGTTAAATAATAATTTAGGTAATCCATGATAGAGTCCTGCGTCGCTTCGTGATACCCGCAACACCTATGCCAGCCGCTGCCCTACTACGTATATTTGGTTCGACCAACACCGCGGTCCAACAAATGACGCACGGCCGACGACGAACCTCCACAAGTATTCGCTGAATTCTTTATGTCGTTGAAAATGTACGCCACCGGCTCCAGTGTTGCATGACCGGACAGGGGGTGAACTGATACCACACCAGGGCACCGCCGTCATTAACGCTAATAACTTTTCATGATGACCATACCTGATACCGCATCGTCGACGTCAGCGAATTATAAGAAGATTATTATTAATTTAAGCCTTCAATCTCTTGATTAAGCTCAATTTGGCCATTTTCAGATTTTGTTTTCTTGAGCTATATATTTTCTGTATCTTATAAATATTTTAATTTTTTGGATAGCTACTACATTTTTTATACGAAAATCAACTTACAATTATTTATTTTGCGGGTAATCGAGTGGTTTTTGATATACTAATCATTTTGTATAATTTATGGGCTATTAAAACAGATAATTGCTGCCACTGGTATTATAAAACCAAATTAACCAAATTTGTATTTATAATCCAAATATTTAAATAATCCTAAAAGATAAATGGTTGATTGGAAAAAAGAAAAACTAAATTTCTTTGTAATTTTTTTACTCTTATATTATGAAGTTAAAAATAAAGGCTACTATATAAGAAAATGAAATAAAAGGATTTTCTTTATTATGTATTATTTTAGAGTTTTCTAAACGTTTCTCTTTAAAAAGATTTAAAAGATTCTAAGATCATGAATGTCTTACAAAATTTAGATAACCTTGTAGTTTTTAAGTTTCTGGGTATTAATATAATACAAGGTATTTTATACTAATCTCTATATTAGTATGAGCATATAATTTTCTATTCAGAACAAATAAAGTAATCCACCATATGTTTAGGGAAGTCCTTCATGTCAATAAATAAATTCAAACTTTCATTTTGTTTTCTTTTAAAAGCTATATTTTTAAAATGTTCAATATTTTCAGTTTTGAATTCATCCAAACCATCATTATTTCCTAGGTCGTCAACATTAATTTCACTACTGTTGTCGTTAGTATCGCATTCATCGTTATTACTGTTACAATAATTTATCGGACTATTTGAGCATAAAATATCTATAAATAATAAAAAGAGGTAATATTTAAAGTTAAATTACTTTATTTATACGTCATTATTATAATTTGAATCATCATTATTACCATAGGCTAATCCAAACATATTGTGGTCGTCTCTTAAAAATTTGATAGAATTTTACATCGAATAAATTAACTTAGATCATACTTTTAATTAAGAAATATATTTTAGCTTTGTTGTATAAAGCCGAGGAGTCCACAAATTAAAAAATTGTAAAATATTACTATATTAAAGCTTACCAATTAAATTTGGTGTTAGAATGTATTTAATGTCTTTAGTATTAAGCCTTCCAACAGTCTGTATGACATAAATTGAATTAAATGAATTTGCATTATATTTGAGTTTTTTAACATATATTTGAATTTGATGATTTTCTTCTCTTATAATGTCATGTATGTGTTTTAGATTTCTCTCTGTTACAATTGTTTCTGGTTCTATATTGAACTTTAACATCATATCATTCATAAAATCTTTTAATTTTTTTAAGATTTCATTTGGTAATTCTATTTCTATAGAACGTAAGCCACGAAACCAATATATAATCACATATAAATGATTAAGGAGGGATTTAAGAAAATTTTTTGCGGGTTCTACGAAAATATTTAAATTGATAAAACTTTGTAGCGTTATCTTAATTTTTTCACCCAAACATTTTATAGAAAAAATATCGTTCTTTATGTTATTATGGCGATTTATATCAATTTGAATTATTTCAGATACTAAATGTACGTAGTTAGCTATAAGTATTCCAACAGGATAAAATGATGCACCAAGTAAAAGTATTTGGAATGCTCTCATATCAATGGATAAATATTGATAATTAGCAAAACGAAATATATCATGTATAGTCAAGTTAGTGTCATCAGTACACTGTATATCAAGAGGAGCAAATCGAAGTAGGTCTAAAATATTTTTGGGTTTACCATAGACAAATTCTTGATGTTGTCTTGATTCAGTACCTTTCGTTAAATATTTATCAGAATCAATTGACATTATATTGTAAAATAACACATTTATAGGATGGTATAATGCTATTTTACATATTTCAACTTTTTCAGGATTTATTTCTNATGGTATAATGCTATTTTACATATTTCAACTTTTCCAGGATTTATTTCTCTAATCATTCTTTCTCTTAAATCATTTGTAAATATGTTTAATTTATCAATATTTAAATCATTCGATATATTATTGTTAGGATATTCGACAAATTGTGATAATAAATCATTAGAACAATAAGAATCGATATAACGTTCTAACTGTATCATCATAGAATAATTTTGTAATCTTAAACCTTGTATACCAAGAAAAACTTTGTTATATCCAATATTATTACTTGTCTCATATCTATACTTTACATTTATCGAACCAGAATTATTGTTTAAATACAAATTTACCGACATTAAGTCATATGGAAAATGATGACTATCAATATTCATTAGATCTTGAATCATTAATAATACAACATCTCCATGAGTTTGAATAGCTCGTCCATATTTTTTTAAATCTTCTTCAGTATAAATTTCAATATTTTTATACATTTGTAACAAATAATGTTCATTAAGTTTAAAATAGTTCCACATATATTTAGAATAACTGCAATGTTTTTGTTTGTTATCAGATTTTACCAGTGTGACATTAAATAATATGATTGTCAAAACAGTTTTGAAAATCATATTTTTTAATTAAAAGGAAGTTTTAATTTCAGAATGAAATTTATTATAATCAAATAAAAATATTTTTTAATAGTCAGTTCATTTTATAAGGTAGACTTTCTATAATTATATTTTTATTTTTTACTCTTATTTTATTTTTTTTAAGAAATATTTGTGACTGACAAAATTGTTTTAATGCTTTTTAGAATAAATAACACAAGAATAAATACAATTGGAATTTATTAATATATTTGATTCATTTGTCATTTAACATTATATTGCAATTTGAAATAATATACATATTAAATTTTAAGCATTTTACTAAATAGAATAGTTTATATTTGGGCGAATTGAGTATTATATATACAGGGTGATTTTTTTATCATAACCCACTCAATTACTTGCAGAATAATAATAATTTAAACATTTATTTTTTTTATTATCTTTAGTTACACATTATTCTTGAATTTTTAACTATGTAATACTTTTTAAGTTCATCCCTTATGCCTTGGAGGGGGGTAAACTTTGTTTTTTTAAATGGTAACACATATTTTTAATTTAATAAAATGTTTGAGTTTTTAATTTAATAGTAAATGGCATTTGAATTTTTAATATAACTTAATTCGTTTATTAGATATAATCATTTAAAGTTTCAAATTTTTGAATTAATATACAGGTATAATACACAAGGGATTACAAATACAGGTAGCTAATTGGTTTTTTATAACATCGATATTAGCAGGTACACAGCATTGTTATTATCAATTGTAGTAAGGCACATTGTTATGAGTTTATAAATACACTAACTGACAATACAGAAAGTATATCTATTGATAATCATAATTGATAATAAACAATCCGTGACTGAGACAGCAATGTCATAAAAATCCAATTAGCTACCTGTATTTACAATCCCATGTGTATTATACATGTATATTAACTCAAAATTTTGAAACTTTAAATGTTTATATCTAATAAGCTAATAAAGTTATATTAAAAATTCAAATGCCATTTACTATTAAATTAAAAACTCAAACATTTTATTAAATTAAAAATATGTGTTACCATTTAAAAAAACAAAGTTGACCCCCTTCCAAGGCATAAGGGATGAACTTAAAAAGTATTACATAGTTAAAAATTCAAAAATAATATGTAACTAAAGATAATGAAAAAAAAAATGTTTAAATTATTATTATTCTGCAAGTAATTGAGTGGGTTATGATAAAAAAATCACCCTGTATACACTAGTACGAACTTAATCCACATACATCAAATAACTACTCTATTTATTATTTATTATTTATTAAAATGCTTATAACTTATTAATTACTTATTCTAAAGTTATTATCGACTCGTAAAACAGTTTTTACAATATAATGGTTACAAAATTGTATTATTATTTCTTTCTTATTATAAACATATTACAAAAAATATACTTTCAACGTAGTCTATAATGTAAGATTTATTTTTAAAAAATGTAAAGAAAAATAATTACTAGATCAAAAGCTATTAAAATTTTAAAAAGTGATGGGTTATTTTGTATATGATAGTTTAAAGTCGCACTTATACATTTTTTGCAAGAATAATATAATAATTTTGTTTTATGGCGTTTAGTTTTAACTTAAGTTTGAATAAATATATTAAAAAATTTTTTATTGAAATAATTTAAGAAAAATTTTAAATGAATTTGTAATTTTAAATCTTATTTAATTAAGGGGAGTATTAAACTATTACATTTCTAAATCTCTCTTATAAATACTAGGAAGGGTTTTAAATAAAAACTTAATAGGAAAAGTTGTTTTTTTCGTTATTTGTATATGAAATTTCTATATATAATAAATAATTTGCACCAATTAGTTAATCGAACTCAGATATTGAAAAAAATAAACTTACTATTATCCAGGATTATATATATATGTTTGTTATTAGGTCGATTTCCTCTTTAAAATATTGTTACTCTCTAATTTTTGTTTTTTTTTTAATACTTATTATTAGACTAATTAAAAATTGTATATTATATCTAAATTTTTTTAGAGGGACAGGAGATGATTTACTTTTAATTGTGGAATACATATGCATTTTGGGCCCTTTTCAAGAAAATGTGGGTATGTTACACTATTCTATTCGTCACACTAATGAAGATGTTACTAAAAATAAACATGATTATTAAAAAAATATTTCACAATTTAATAAAAAAATTATTCAATCGGAAAAAATTAATTTTTTACTTCCTTATGTTTTTAGTTTTTGGGCGTCCCTGTAAATTATAAATTTTTTTAAGAATAACCTGACGAATTTCACTTTTTTTACGAAGACATTGTAAGCTAAACAGAAATATATACCAGCCAAACTTTACAAAATAGCATTTGGTAGCCATTTTTACCATGAAGACAAGTCCAGAGGTCAAATTTTTTTTTTTTAGATTAATGTATATTACATTAGATTTAATTTAAGATATATATAAAAGTGTCAGACCTTCGGGAACATTTTCAAAAGTTAATTTTTTGTAAAAAAGTTGTCATTTTAAATCCCTCTCTGTGGGCAGGTCTAGGGTCGAATTTATAAAACAAACATACCAAATGATAGGTAAAGACATCAAGCATCTATAAAAAAAAAATTATGTTGATTTGTTCATTTTTGAAAAAGTTATGGCAGTTTTAATTTAAAAAAATTGAAAAAATTTCGAAAATTAGCGATTTTTAAATTTGTAATTTTTTTGGAGGTTTCCCCCATTTACGGGAAACAAGGGAAATTTTTTCAATTTTGAGGGTATTGTCTTCGACTAGATACGTTTTGTGATCTTTTGACGTATCGTTGAAAAAAATCCGTTCGGTGAGAGCTGAGAAAAAGTGGTAACAGACATACAAAAAAAAAAAAAAAACACATCATAGTAAAACCAATACCTTCTCAGCTTCGTATCGAAGCTAATATATAGACTCAAATTAACAGAAGTACAAAAAAAAAATACTCTTAATAATTAAATGATGGTTAAGGATTCCAAAAGAAAATATGAGTAGGAGGTCTAAATATGAATCCATAAGTCGTAACAGAAACAGGTTTATATTTAGAATATTAATCATTTTTGTGTATACCAGGGGTGTATTTAAGGGAGATATGGGCCTCCCTTGAACCAGCGCTATCAATATTTTTTTTAGGCAACTTCTAATAAATAAGGACCTAATGTCCTTTTTTTTCATCATTAATTTAATTTTTAGCAAAAAAAATTCTATAACATGTTTAATAAAGTAAAAAATATTAAATACTCTCCTAAAATAATTTTTGAATAGGCCTAAAGGGAATACCTCCTTAACAAACGACAACCTTATACCCAATACATTTTATTATATTCTCTTTTTGAATTTTCCTGATTTTAATAATAATATTTTTTATATATTTTTGTTACACTTATTCTGATAATAATATTTTTTCTGCAAAACACTTATTGTGCCCTGCGTAGCCGGGTACCCTACCGGAATCAGTGGCCTACTTATGATGACAACTCGAAGAGGCTTACGCGGAGTCTAATTAATATGTAATATAATAAGTACATAATATATATATATTCAGTTGGTTTGAAAATATAATCTAGGATGAAAAATATAGTTCTTTATAGAGGTAAGCTTTATTATATGTATTTATAATATAAAGGTCCATAAAAAAATTCAACAAAAAATAAAAGTAATTACTGACATGATTTTATTTTTAATTGTTTACATCACAAAGATTAAAAAAATAAAAAACTAATTTTTTTTAAAAATATATATAATTATTTAAAAAACTCTCAAACTATAATTTTTAGCTTCGATGCGAAGCTGAGAAGGTATTAATTTTACCATGATGCGTTTATTTTTTTTTTGTGTCTGTCACTACTTTTTCTCAGCTCTCACTGGACCGATTTCTTTTAACAATACGTCAAAAGATCACAAATTGTATCTAGTTGAAGACATTACCCTTAAAAATTTAAAAATTTTCCCTCGTTCCCCGCAAATGGGGGAAATATCCAAAAAAATTACAAATTTAAAAATCGACAAATTTTGTCATTTTTTTCACTTTTTTTTCTTAAAACTTCCATAACTTTTTCAAAAATCAACAAATCAACATAATTTTTTTTTAAACTAAAACCTTAGATATTTTCCTTTCATTTGATATAATTTTTTTGAAAATTTAACACTTAACCTGCTCATGGGGGGGGATTTAAAATTGCAACTTTTTTACAAAAACTAACTTTTTCAACTTAATTTTTGAAAATGTTCCGGAAATACTGCGTCCTTTAAACATATATCAAATTAAAGCTTATTTTATGTACTATAAAATGAAAAAAAAAAATTTGTCCCGACACTTTATCTTCTGCATGTAAACGGTTGCCGTAGTTTAAAAAACACTATTTTTGTGTTAAAATTTTTGATTT